CACTGGTCCAGCAGTTATTAAAATGATAGCTTTCATCACAGAGGCATTGCTGGAATAAAATGTTCTCATCTTGATTATACAACAGCAAGTATAGTCTACTGCAAAATAAAGGATATCCAAGTGGCAGTTTGGTAAATTTAGAATATCTGAATTAAAATAAAAATGTTATTCAAATTGAAAGTTGATTTAATTTTTTTAAAATAACAATAAACGCAAGCAAAAGCTTGAAACTCATTTATATGTTTGCTGTCTTTGGATCATTTTCACTGTATGAATAAAGGAAAGAGGTAAATTAAAGTTATCCCAGGATATTACTTGTAAGAGGTTAAAGTATGTTCTAATGGGCAGATTAATTCTGTGGGGAAATAACATTAAATCTTTCTGAAGCCTTGAAATTTCTCAAAAGCATTCTTGCTGTTTTCTTGCATTGCAACAAATGCAATCATCTGGCTAGATAATCTGGCATCTTAAATAACTTTGCACTTAAGCCCTGTCAATTTGATCTTCCAAGGTTAATTGATTATTTCAACAAGCATTCTTGCCAGAAAAGATCTGAGTGCTTACATCTTTTCATTAATTCACACTGTTTGGTGAGAAGGCGGAAAATAGGAAAGTGCTGCTTGATTTAACCCTTTCGTGCCCCAGCCTCTAAGGGCAGATGGAGACTGAGCTGCAGCTCACCAGTGGTGGGTCAAAACGCAGCCCCTTGTGCAGAACAAAAGGAATCAGGGCCCACCCTCACAGGCTGCAGTACAGGGGTGTGGGGTAGGCGCTCATGGCCTGCTGAGAGCAGCCTGCCATCCCGCGCTCCTCTGCGGCTGGGCACAGGCTGCTGGGGCTACTGACAATTGCATAACTGCTATGGGCATCATTCTCTTCAGGGGCTCTGCCAGGACAAGGAGGCGTCACCCCTCATGCCACAGCCCATCAGCTGAACAGCAGAACCTGCTCAAAAGTCAGGATTTAAAAAAAATAGGCATTGAAATTGTGTAGGTATTAATATGTTTTCCAAAAACACAAAAAGAAGCCCAATGCTTCCCAGCAAGAGGAAGGGCCTGGGTTTATTTGAAGCTCCTCGTGGCCACATGGCCTGTCTCTGGCACGATGAGGTGCACCTGCTGCTCTCAGCTCCCAAACCCCCAACACACACGGTCCCCGGCGCCTTGTTCCACACCCCCACTTCTCTCCATTTGCGCGTAAAGAGCAGAAACAGCCCCAGCCCCGTGACTAGTCGTTGTGGGCAGCAGCCTCCTCACTTTCCCGCCAGCTGGTGTTTAGGGGTACTCTGGGTGGGGCTCCTGCTCCCTGCACCCCTTGGCATGGCCCAGGTGCAGATGAGGAGGGAGCTGGGGAGGTGCCCGCCACCCGCAGGGCTCTTGCCCCCGGCCTGTGACTCCGGGGTAGGCACTGCCCAGTGGGGCCAGCCAGGCCCATGTTCCCAGAGCGCACGCGGCAGGCTGGCAGGTCCCCCGGCCCTCCCTCCGCTGGCTCCCACCACCCAGAAATGGGAAGGAGAAGGCCACAGCTTTATTTACATAACACAAGAGATATAACAATAAACAAGCATTAATCATGATCATTACACCAAATCATACAAAATAATGCTGCTGACCGCTTCCGCGGAGCATTGGTTATTTTTTGTTCTTTTTCTTTTCCTCTTGGAAAAGGGGAAAAACGACAAAATCATTAGCAACCCAGGCTCCCCCAAATCAACATGTGTGTAAATTAAACACACGTGAAGCCTCAACGTGTGGCAAATTAGTGCAGGAAATGCTGTGGCCTGTGCATCTCCGAGTCCTGGCGCACATGGCGACGTGACAGGTATTATTGCCCTCTGTGGAATTATTTAAGCCCGGTAGGAATTCCCAGTGTCAGGAAATGTCAGGGCACTGTTATTAGACAAGTTTAATTAGGATCTACCCTGCTGCTCCTAACAAGTATTTAATTAACTTCCAGGCAGGGTAATTAGCTTTAGATTGTGGCTGATTTTCTCCCTCACCTTCTGTTGACACTTGGCCCGCGCGCGGCACCCTGCTTTGCTGACAGTGTAATGGATAGCATCGTCGGGAAGCCGAACACCGCGGCTTCCAGCCTAGGAGCGCAGCCCGGCCAGGACGAGAGAAGACACAATAACGTCCGTGGGCTCAGTCCCGGGTGTGGCAGAGGACCACGGGCTCCACAGGCACATGCGAGGCCGCCTCCACAGGAGGGGCAGTCTGGCCTTGACGACTCTAGGCAAAGCGGAATGAAGAGGAAGAGGCCCCAAAAACCAAAGCCACCCCCACCCCACCGGTGTCTAGCTCTGCCTGCCCGGCCCACGCGGCTTCTCTCCCCTGCAGCAGGTGGGGCCTGGCGCTTCTAGCTCCCTGGCCCGCATGTGTGCGCGTGCTTGGAGACCAAAAACTAGAGGACGTTGCCTGGGCCAGGCAGCCCCGGGAACCACACGGCTTCCACAGCGCTGCCTCTGCAAACACGCGGCGCGGCCCTCTTTCCCTCCGCCCACCCCACCTTATAACAGTGACGGGACTTCCTGTGACAACACACCAGTGAACAACTGGGCTGGAGAGACGGCTCGCTCGGGAGTTAGACACGCCCGTCGTGACGGAGAGAGGCGTAACAACTCACGCCGCTGCACCGTGCGTGAGTCTCAAACAGAACTGGTCCGCATCTGCGCCCCGGGTTCGCAGCAGCGTTCTTCACAGTCGACACAAAAGGCAGACGACGCAGCGTCCGCCCACGGGGGTGGATGAAGACATGGTCCAGCCTGCAGTGGGAGGGGACTCCGCCTGGAGGAGGGAGGAGGCTGTGGCACCCGCCTTGAGGACGTCATGCTCAGTGCGACAGGCCACTCACAGGACAAACGCTGTGTGACTCAGCTGCGCGGCCGCGAGGGTCTAGTCCGTGGAGTCGGAGAGTAGAATGATGGGTGGCAGGGGCTGGGGAGGGGACGGGAGCCAGTGTTTGTGGGGACAGTTTCAGGTGACAGGATGAAAAGAGTTCTGGGACGGAGGTGTGGCGCTGCGTGACAGTGTGAACGTACGCTCCCCCGAGCTGTGCACTTGAACTTGGGTAAGATGGGAAATTTTATGTGTATTTTGCCATAATAGAAGAAGGAAACTGGCTCTTAGCTTTCTGCAGCGCGTGTCTGAGAGCGGAAAGCAGCTCTGCTGCCTTCCCCGAGAAGAGCCTCCGCCTCCACAGGCCCTGCGGGCTCAGAGTTGCAGAAAAACTTGCATCTGGAATTCTACCTTTCGATGCTTACTGTCTTCATCGTTAAAGGAAATTACGGGATGTGGGGATTGTTAGAAACCTTGGAGCTGTGTATAGGCCACTGCCCAGGACCAGCCTGCGAGCTCTGCACGCCTGGGCTGATCCGCGCCCGCGGGGCCTGGAGGAGCAGCGCTGCGGCTGGCTCTGCACCCCAGGGGCCCCGGGCCCGGCCTCGCCGGGACCTCACGGAGGGTGAACAGGCCAGGAGCCCAGGGCAGGGCTGCACGGATGCTCCCGGTAGCAACTGCTCTGGCTGCTCGGTCCTGCCTGTCGGGGTGGCAAACACCTGTAACGCGGCCTGCAGACGCACTCAGGAGCAAACATGCAACCCTGCACTCGCGGGGTTATGTTTCACTGGAGGGAGTGCGTCGGCAAATAAGGATGTAGTTGGGCAGCTGGTGAGAGGGAAGCATGTAGGCGGCCCCAGTTTAACAGAGGGTGCTCAGGGAGGCCCACTGGGAAGATGGTGCTGGGCTGGAGCGCAGCTGCTGCGTGGGTGCTTGGGAGGAGTATTATTGACAGAGGGAGCAGGTGTAAGGGCCCTGGGGTCGGGGGACCTGCTCAAAGCTGGCAAGTGAAGGAAGCAGAAGTATCCCAGTGCTGCTGGTCTTAATACCACAACAGGGCCTCACCCCATATTAGAGAGCCGCAGACACTGGGCAATGTCCAGGGTAGGCATAGACTTCCAGGACCTTCCCTCCCTCCGACCCACCATCCACTGACAGCTGGGGAGCCCTCTGCCCTGGAGCTTCCTCACTGAGGGGAAGGTTTTGACCCCTGAGAATATGCAGAACAACAAAAGCTAGCGCCTGCGTTGACCCTCACACATCCAGATGCAATACTCTCAAATTATCTGGGTGTTAGTCACCTATTTCCATTAGCAAATTATTTTCTAATTGCTTCTGTAATAGCATTTGTATTATTTTGGAGAGAACTGGACACAGACACAGGTAAGCTGTAGGAGCTTCCAGGGCCTTGGCTGATGACTTGGAGAGGGTGGCGGGGGCCACGGGCTGTGCACACCCTGGTGGGCCGAGCCCATCTTCTCCTTCTTTTGTGACTTCCTTCCACACCTGTGACTGGCCACTCAGGGTGGCCTCGGGGCTGTGGAATTTCACTCCCCAGCTGTGACACTGCTTCCGGGCCAATTCGAGACACACGCATCAGCCCCAAATGCCAGAGCTCCCGTGTCTGGAAACATAATTAAGTGAGTATTTTTTCCCCTTCTTGACTTTTGGAGAAAGAGCCCAAAACACAGAAAAATACCACAAAGAGCTAACAACCCCCACAGTGGCTGCAGGCACCTTCTGGAGGCCCTGTTCCCCTGCCACGCTGCGCCCTGTCCCCTCTGCCCTCCCTGGCACCTGGTCCCCTCACCCTGCTCTGGTTTCCTTCTTGGTGCAGACCCTTTCCTGCCTGTCCTGCGTTTATTGCGTGTTTAGCTCTTCCCCACTGCAGGGTGAGATGTCTGTTTTGTTTTCCGTTTTCCCTCCAGCTCCCAGGTGCGGTCGGCAGGGCTCTGTCATATCCATTAGTGCACAAGGGGTGGACACTCCCCACAGTGACACTGGGATTTAAAAAAGTGAACAAAACTAGCAACAGCCCAAGTATGCCCTGAGTGCAAAGCTATTCAGCCTGTCCATACATCCTCACCTGCTGTATTTTCCAGCGGGACTGACATTCAGAGGGATGCCCTGAGTCTGGTGAATAAATTACTGTAATCGACGAACTGATTGACACATATTTATTGGGTGCACTTTGCTAGGTGCTGGGACACAGCCGCTGGCTAGACACAGGGAAGGCCCATTCTCTCGAGCAGCTTCCTGTGCAGGGTAGGGGACACATGTCACCCAGCTGTGTTGGAGTGAGTGAAGCAAGGCCTTGCAGGAAGAAACCGGCTCTGAGACCACACGGGATGTTCACTTATCTCTGACAACTAAGTAGGAAAGAAGAGTGAGAGCCTCAGAAGATGCCGATGTTGACAAAGTGAGAACTAAAATGTGGTTTCTGGTTCAGCCTCTGACAGCCACGTGCATCTGCTAACCAGCTGCCTGTGACCATGGTTTAATCCCAGCTCTACGGGGCATGGCCTACAGCAGACGCACCCCGGGACACGTGGGCAGCACCCCGACTTACCTCCCTCGGCTTCCTTCCTGCCGGCCTTACCCGCCGGCCACACTTGACCCTTGTCAGTCAGAGGCGTGTCCGCTATTCCCTGGTGCCACTGGCTCACCACGTCTCCCACAGACTTGTCCTACCTCTTCTTGAGGAAGCTCTACGCCAGCAACTCAGTGTCGAGAGGGATGTGCTGACGAAACCCATGAAAAAGGTGACACAGCTAAGAATGCTGGTGTGCTCTACGAGGGACATCCTGTGCTTCCTGGGAGAAGAAAACACCAGCATCAAGGCCTGCCACACGATGTGCACAAAGGAGAACAGGACCCGGAGCATTTCCCTTAGATCGTGTGCATAAAACGAACTGGGACAAAATGCGAGAAACAAGAGCCTTCTTCCGGTTGCCTAACCCAGCCTTCCGCAGGTGGGGCTCTGGCCCTTCCGGCCACGCGCACCTGCGCGAGAGAGCGGCCGTGAGGAGCCAGTCCTTTCCGCACACGCTGCCGTGCGTGGAGGCCGCCGGGCACCAGCCCACGTTCCAGCTTCTAGTCTTTCCGTGATCTCCAGTGGGCCTCGGGCAGCGGCGAGGTCCTTTCCGAAGACATGGAGAGTGCCGCTGTCTCTCGGGTGACCCTCCGCTTCTCCGTGGAACAGAGGGAGCCCCCGCTGGGGAAGGACCACTGGAAGGGGACGTCTCAGTCCACGGATGGACCAGACTTTTCTGTGGCCCTCCGAGGTCTAGCGCTGGTTCCGAAAGGAGCCCACGGATCCAGGGCACCAGCAGACAGAGCCCTGCGGGAGCCAGGTAGGATGCTCAGGTACACGGCATGGCCTCGTCACAGGGGCCGCCCTGGCCACACATGCTGGGAGTCCGTGCCGAGGTCTTCGGTGCTGGCTCAGGCCCAGGGGCTCCCACTCCTGACCGAGTCCTTGGTTCTGTGCTCACGAGCAGAGGCTCTAATCAGAGGGGCCATGAAGATGCTGAACAAAGTGGGAGGGTTCTGTGCCCGGTGTCTGTCGGGACCTGGCCCGGCTGTGTTCAGCTCTGAAGACCCATCGGGGTGGTTGAATTCCGCAGCGCAGCGAGTGCTCCAGTTCTGCTTGTTCTCTTCATTTTTCCCAGGAGAGATGCTCGACTCCTGCGGCCCCTCCCCGAGAACACGCTGGGAGGGCGAGCGCAGCCCTGCGGCTCCAGGGGGCCCTTGCTTCATGAAACCAGTGGCGGTTAGCAGTGACCTTCTGCAGGCTGGCGGTGCCAGGGCGCCCGGGTCTTTGCAGGCTCTTGCCCCCTCCCTCCTGCTCCCCAGCCCCCGCATGAGCTGGGGGCCTGGCCACACAGCCCGCCCTGCCTCCTCCTTGGGTAATGCTGAAGCCACCAAGTCAGTGTTGAAGCAGGGAGGCGGGGCTAGGACACGGGACAGTGATGCCGAGAGTTGCGGCTGTGGGCTGTCCGCAGGCTCTGCACACACAGCGTGTCTGTCCTGGCGACGCTTCGGTCCTAAGGAGCGCTTGCCGCGGCACGTCTAGCCCGAGCAACAGGGCGAGCACTTTTCTGTCACAGTTTCTCAGCTCCCACACTGTGGCTCTCAGTGGGGTTGTCTTCCAGGCACATGCTCCTGGCACGGCCCAGCCAGCCTCACCCACGTCACCTGTCGCAGGACTGACACATCCTGCGCACAGGAGCAGGACTCCTTTGTCGTTCCTCATTGCATCTTTGTCCGAATCAGCCTAGGCAGTTCAACAGAAGGAGGGCATCCTCGTGTGCTCGTCCAAAACAAGGCTGGAAACCAGGGGATCTCCGGTCCTGCAGCCCCCTCGGGCCTAGGCATGGCATCAGCGCTGCTCCCGGGAGCCGACACGGAGCGTGGCAGGCACGGCCCCACCCCTGCCCTGGCCTTCCCCTTCGCGCTCCCGACCAGTGACTTCTGTTCCCAGCCTCACGTTACCCTGTGCTTACCTCTTGTCCAGTTTCCAGAATCATTATTTCTGGTTGGAGGACACCTGTCCCAGTCTGCTCAGGCTGCCCTCACAGAGTCCCGCAGTCTGGGCGGCTTGTGAACAGCAGGTGTTTATCCCTCACGGTTCTGGGGGCTGGAAGTCCAAGCACAAAGTGAGGTGGATCTGGTGCCTGGTGAGGCCCTTCCTGGTGCATAGACGCATCTTCTCTGTGTCCTTGCATGGCAGGACCCACGAGGGAGCTCTCTGGGTCCCTTTTACAAGGCACTAATCCCAATTGTGACTTCATCACCTCCCAAAGGCCCCACCTCCAAACACCACTGCTTTGGGGGTTAGGGTTTCACAGTGTGATTTTTGGAGAGGCACAAACATTCAGTCTATAGCACCATCTTCCTAGAAATACCTCAATGTTGCCTTAAGCTCAGGTTTACCTAACTCATAATCCCCTCTTCCTGCCGGGAATAACAGGTTTGCCTTCAGACTCAGTTGGTATTGAAGGCAGCAATTCCACCTGCCCAAGCTCAAGTCCAGGAGACAACACTGCTTCTCCTTTCTCTCAGATTGGACAGAAAACAAGTAATCAATTTCTGTACATGTCCGCTCTTCCCTCTCCATCCGCACTGCCACCCCCAGCGACCCACCTCACTCCCCAGATGCTTATCATCAAACCCTGACTTGCTGTTGGCTGTCGCACGCTCAGGGCCGTGTTCCACCCCGACCCCTTGGCTGGCTGTGGTTTGGGCACCCCCACTCCACCTTGCATGCGGTCTGACTCCCCGTGTGGGGTCTAGCCTGTGATACCAGCTTTCCAGCCTGGGGGCTCCCTGATGTCTGCCATGACAGGCTCCCCTGCCATTGTACTTTAATCCTGTCCTGTCTTTTAAAGCTCTTTGCTGTTGTTTTATGTCAATACCCAGCAAATAATACTTTCTTGCCTCTCTGCCCTGCCTGCTGGTCTTACCTTCCCTCTACCTACAGCGCAGAGTCCAAGCGCACAAGGCATGTCCCGCTGGTGCCCTCTCCCATGCCATACGCCGCCACCTGCCCCCTTCCGTGTTGGGGTGTGTGCGCCAGCATGTCAGAAACACGTGGTCGTGCAGAGTTGAGAAAGCACATGCAAGGTTACCGCTGCGTGTAATGATTTACACAAGGTGTTTAGCCTATCCAGGTGTTTCCAGTCGTATTGGTGAAGCCCAGAGCACTGCTGGGCACATAGCAAGTTAAGAAGCAGCGGTGACACGGCAGAATGTTGACCAGGGTTCTGTTGACTTTCCTCTCTTCCACCCATTTCCAGAAAGTGCCTGGAGATGGAAACCAACTGTAAACAGTGCGCAGAGTGTGCCCCAGTAGGGGTCCGTCTTATCAGGCTAGTGTTGGCCGGCCATGGGGCAGTAGCCCTCTATCTCTAGACACCTCTTCCCCCTTATGTGTGGTGGGGCACTTGCAAATTACACTGACGGATGCGGAAACTGGCTATAGACCTATTCACGTCTGCCAGGCCTTGAGGGCTTGCAAATTGACCCAAGTAAGCCAAAAAGATGTAATAATTTCATCTCTCTTACACTCACCACATGCACTCACACCACTGGCAAATGCTTACCCACAGAACAGCAGCTTGCAATACGGAAAACCTTTATGCTAGTCATCGCTCAAACACACACACATCACTCTACAGTGCTTTGTGCTGTGATGAATTTCAATGGTGACTTCACTATTACTCGACCTACAGCATCTCACGGACTGTAGAGTTAGGACAGGCCAGTGGCTTCCGGCCTGGCTCCTCTGAACAGCCCCTAGGGCGAGGGTGGGGTGGGTGGACGTCTGCTTCCCTGCACTGGCCCAAGTTGGTGTCCAAGCGATTTTCCCCTGAAATCCCTTCTCTACTGGACTCTTGTTTCTACAGGGAATGAAGATTAGACCAAGCCATGCTGGGGCCTGAGGAAGGCCGAGATCTGCTCCAGGGCTGCTGTGATGAAGCACCCAGCTGGGCTCTGACAGCGGCCGCTTCCTCCCAGGGCTGGAGCGAAAGGCCGAGATCCAGGCCTGGGCGGGTGGGTCCTTCCGAGGCTGTGGGGCACACCGGCCTCCTCCCGCCACATCGGGCTGGCAATGGCGGCGCTCCCCGGCCGGCAGACGCACCCCGGTCTCTGCCCCCACCTCCACACGGCGCTCTCCCCGGTGTCTGTGCCCAGGTTCCCTCTTCCATAGGGACAGCGTCACACGGAGCAAGGCGACCCCAATCACCTCATGTGTGTCGGTCATCTGCAACTCAGCTTCCACCAGGGCCACATCGCAGGTACTGGGGTGAGGGCAGTACTGGGGTGAGGGCAGTACTGGGGTGAGGGCAGTACTGGGGTGAGGGCAGGTACTGGGGTGAGGGCAGGTACTGGGGTGAGGGCAGTACTGGGGTGAGGGCAGGTACTGGGGTGAGGGCAGTACTGGGGTGAGGGCAGGTACTGTGGTGAGGGCAGTACTGTGGTGAGGGCAGTACTGGGGTGAGGGCAGGTACTGTGGTGAGGGCAGGTACTGTGGTAAGGGCAGGTACTGTGGTGAGGGCAGGTACTGGGGTGAGGGCCGGTACTGGGGTGAGGGCAGGTACTGGGGTGAGGGCAGTACTTGGGTGAGGGCAGGTACTGGGGTGAGGGCAGGTACTGTGGTGAGGGCAGTACTTGGGTGAGGGCAGGTACTGGGGTGAGGGCAGTACTGTGGTGAGGGCAGGTACTGGGGTGAGGGCAGGTACTGTGGTAAGGGCAGTACTGTGGTGAGGGCAGTACTGGAGTGAGGGCAGGTACTGTGGTGAGGGCAGGTACTGGGGTGAGGGCAGTACTGGGGTGAGGGCAGGTACTGGGGTGAGGGCACCAAGGGCCACGTGAAAGGTTTCCAAGAGACGATGGTTTTTCATATTATTTCAAGATAAGGACTTACAGTTATTGTAATTTCATTTCTGATATTACACTTCTCCAGAGTCTCTGCTCTCAAAACTCAGAGAGGCCAGCCCTGCAGGTACTGGGGCGTGGGGGGTGGTGGGAGGAGGCGCTGGGCTCGCCCCCTCCTGAGGGCCGTGGTGGAAGCCTTAGGACGGTGGCGGGAGCGGCCAGAACCCAGCCTGGCGCCTCTGGGACACGGCCCCTGGGTCCCCTGCGGGAGCCCAGTTCCCACGGCCAAAGCTAATGCCTCATTCCGCTCTAAAGACGGGTCAGGCTCCCGACACGCTTGTGTTCCCACCAGAGACTCTGGTCACCTGTGGGGATTTCTTTCTTTTTTGCTAAAGTATTTTGAAGTAAATCAGAGGAATCACATCATTTCAGAATGTCATCATCACACTTTTCAATATTGACGGTAATTCCATAATATCAGCTAATGTTCCACTAGATTCAAATTTCTCCTTTTATCTCAAAAACACCCTTTTTTCTTGTTCATTTTGCTCTGTCTTTCTGCACTGTGTTTTTGTGCCCGTGTGGCTATTTGAGTCTATGACACAGGTGGCCCTACCCAAACCCATGCTGAGAATCTGCTATAGGAAATAAAATAACTATTCAAAGCAAAGCGATGGAACCTTAGGCCAGTGGTGCTCTACCGGGGACAGTTTTGTCTCCTGGGGACACTGGCAGTGTCTGCAGACACTTGTCATTGTCCTGCTGGAGGGTGCTCCTAGCATTCAGTAGGGGAGGCCAGAAGAGGCTGCCAAACACCCTACAAAACACACGACAGAGACGCATCCAGCCCAGGGCGAGCTGTGCCGAGGTTGAGAAACTGCTCCAGAACGTGGACAGGGAACAGAGGCCACGCCCCCACCCAGCTTCGGAGTCTCTCTCCACTCGTGTTGTTTCTATTATTTATTGAGCACTTACTAACTGCCAGTCAGTGTTCTAAACACTCTAGATACAGCGCCTCGTTTAATCCTGAAACCACTCCGAGAGCTGTGTGCCTGTTGTTATCCGCCTTTATAGATGAGAAAACTGAGGCCAACTATCCAGGGTCACGACGCTCAGGACAAGAAATGATGACACTGGCCCACGAAGAGGCTCTCTGCACCTTAGCAGCAATTGTGAGATACAGTGAGAAGGAGGAGGAGGAGGCAGAGATGGCAAGGTGCCAAGGGCTGTCACAGCAGTGTCAGGGGCTGGCCCTGAGGAAGTGCCTGTGCTCTCCTGTGGTGCTGTCTGCGGCAGTTACACAAAAGCCTTAAAACACACTGTCTAAAAATCCACCCACAAGGGTTTGTTCAGGAAATGGCGGCAATCCTGCAGAATCCAGTTGGTTCCGACACAACAGTTAAAAATAACGAGGTATGTCTACAGGCCGTGGCATAGAAAAAGGTCCGATGTGTGGTCAGAAGGGAAACCAAATGCAGAATAATTCCACTCCTAATGCACAGCAGTCCCTGCTCTGCACAGCGCAGCCAGCGCATGACTCCGCCCACGCCGGCCAACAACACGCCGCGCCACCTCCGCGGTCACCCGGGAGAGCCTGCTGGTTCCTGACCTTGGAAATCTCTACTGTCACTTGCAATGTATAGGTGGGAAAAGTAGTTATGTTTTTCTCATATGTCATCTCTATTTAGTACACTGTAATTTAAAACAATAGAAACATTGAGAAACAAAGTGTTTTATTTCTTTCTAAAAAATTATAAGGAGTAGTCTGAACAGGGTTTGCCCTTTCCCCCGCTGTGTAACTCATCACAGAAGGAGCGTATTTCCTATGCCTTGGAGAATCTCTATTCTTTTCTAGGTTTGGATCAACTAGGTTTCCTTTTCTAGGTTTCTTTTCTAGGTTTGGATCAGCGTTTCATCCTTTGCACTCTCAATCCCAGGAAAGGTGAGTGTTCCCTTAGCGCAAAGTGCTCACCAGCCCATTTCCCGTGGGAGGGCTTTGCCCGCCACACCACCGTGCTCCCCACGTGGACACTCCACCTTCTCCCGGTTCCCTGGGGCTGCCCAGAGGCAGTGCCTGTGTCCCCGCTGCCACTTTACGTTCTTGAGCCCCATTTTCACTCCATTTGAATTTCACTCCCCCGTTGTCACTCTGCAGTTCCTTGTGTACTTTTGTCCTTGCCGCCAATTCCCTTCTGAGTACCTGTTTGGGAAAACGCCACCAGAGCTCATGCCTAGTAGACAGGGGGGCAGCGCAACTGCGCGCTTTGCTGTCCGGGCCTGCCCTTGGCTCAGGTGCGGTGCTGGGTGGTGGCCGGCGTCTGTGACTTCTGGCTGAAGGGCTGGCA